CGGACCCCGATCGCACCATTAGCAGACGACGCCCGAGGGGCCTTCGGGGGGTCTGTTGATATCGCAGAGGTCACGCCCTCATCGTCTGCAGAGGGAGAGGTGATCGGTCATATTGACACGAGCCTGGAGACGGTAGATACACGAGGAGAGAGCCAACAAACAAAAGAGGGACCAATCACACGCCGTTGCTAAGGCTGAACAGAAGAAAAGTCTTTTCACTGCGGCGCGTCGTCTTTCATTAGGCCGAATCACTAACACACTATTTATTTTTATTCTCTCCCTCTTTCATCGGGATATAGCAAGAGGGGAGCAGAGTGGAAATAAGGACAGAGGAGAGACGTGTGAGAGCAGATGACGAGCAGGAAGTTCAGGTCAGGGGAATATGGACGGAGAGTGAACAGGAAGGGGAAGGAAACGGGATGTGAGGGACATTTTAACGAGTCGCCGTCGATTAAACAGAAGCACAGAGATTAATGAAAGTGTTTTCACCCCTGTTCCGTCTCCATCGTTAAAACTGTGCGCCAGCCGGAGCACAGACAGTGACCGGACCGTCGCTTCCCTCGCTGGGTTTCATGCTCCAGTGACCCGACCAGCCTCCAGTCTCCCGTCTCCCCTCCAGTAGGAGGCAGAGAAAGGGCTTTTTGTCCCCAGTGTCCTGACTGAGGGAGGTCGTAGTGAATGTCCTCAATCACAGACTCTCTCCACACAAAACCTTATTATTATTATTATTGCAGCGGCTGTTGAATCATTATTTGGTTTCTCTTCTTAATTTAGATCTGGTCATTTTCTGTGAAGTTTAAAGAAGTGATTCAACAGAAACAGCTCTTCTGGGAGATGTTTTGCTTTTCACGAATCAAAACATCAAATTGAATAACTCGAGGGGGGGGGGGTTGACGTGACGAACGGTAAAAAGAATCAGATCGTCATTTTTTACAGTTTAATTCTCGTATTGAAGTGACAGCGGGCTTCAGAGAGGAGATGGCCCGGAGAAAGCTCAGCTCCGTGTGGCGGCTAATCCGTTAATCAAGCCTGCTCAGTCCGGGCTAACAGGACGGTTAAATGGATTAGTGCATTGATTGGCACACACGCAGCAGCACGTCCACACACTGGAGGCAAACAGTTCCACAAATCACTTCACACTGCTGCGCTCAAATCAAGACCGGAGGATGAGACAGCGTCATTGAATAATCTGCTCTGTGATACGGACCAGACGCAGAGAGGAAGACAAGTTTACACACATTTTACTACGTCTTATTCCACCAATGGAAACTGAGGTTATGTTTTCAGGACCATTTGTTTGTCTCTCAAAAAAGACTGAACTGATTTCCATAGTATTTAGTTGTGAGTTGGGACATGACCCAAAGAAGAAGAATCCATTTAATTTTAAAGCAGATTTAAGGAGGGGGGTCTCCAGGCGCCTTTCTAGCTACATCTATTTTTAATGCGATGAGCGTGATGCGGAAATACACGGAAAAGCTTTGTGCTTCTCAAGGAGGGAAGATGCTGTTCATTCTTCTGGTTGAGCAGGTTGTGTTAAATAGATGTTTCTGTGGTTTGATGCTGAAACGCTCGTCACAAACTGGGTCAGCAAACATGACGGGAGTAAAGAATGTGTTTTAAAATTATACTAAAGACAAACAACTTATTTCGACTAAAGGTAAATGATGAGGTGTGGAAATCAGCAGGAATGATGATGGTGCTAGAAGTATTCTCTGGATCAGGTGAACTACCTGAGGACCCAGTTGGTCGTGTTTATCTCAGTCCTGCGAGGACCACGGCTTGTTTCTCTTTCTTTTTTCAGACTTTATTTATCGATGCTATCAGCACATGAGGAGGATTTCAACAAATGAGACGAAAAGCGTTCCAGAAACTACCCAGTGGTGTTTGTTGTAAAACAGAGTCTGTGATCGTCCAGGGTCTGAAACTCCACATCACAGTGAAAATAACACTAATACACTAATATGATCAGAAAATATAAGAAGGATGCTCCGGGTTCATGCTGCGTTAGCTCTGCTGCTATGAATATCATTTAAATTCAGATGGGATGATGAAGTGAAGCATCAGAGAGTGAAATATGTTTCACAATAATTGAATCTTCTCACCGGGCTGAGAAGCAGCTGTTTGAGCTGCTGGTGCACATGTGAGTACACGTCCATGTGCAGGTTTGTGTATAGATATACAGTTTGCGTGTATATATATTTTTTGGATGAGTGAGTGTGGGTGACTGCTGCTGCGGCTCAGTGTTGCCATGGTGATGGTTGAACTTCAGGCTGAGGTTGAGGCTTCTACTGTAGTTGAAGCAGATGCTGTTACATAAAGTGAAACACACTGATGCACACACAGTTCCGCACTGTGCTTTTAATGGTGTAAGTGTGTGTGTATATATATATTTGTATATGTGATGACACAACAGTGTGAGGACCGGTGTTACGCCATCGCTCCTCAGGAGGATATTTCAAAACCTTTTCTACAAGCCACGAAATATCCACAAAATTTAGAGTCTTGGAATCTCATTTTTTCTTTTAATGGTTGAAATAAATAAGTTTGAATCTGGAATTGTTCAGATTATTGATTCATCTGCCAATTTCCTCAATGAACCAAATGTTTAATAAGTTTAAATAGAGGAAATTAGAGCCTGACAGAGTTTTAAGGGTCGACGCTGATATTAGAGCAGGCAAAATATTATTATACCAAATGGCCGACATAAATATGTTTAATAAATTGACAATGATTCCTAAGATGTTATGAAGCTCTTATGACAAAGAAATGTGATTGAGGCTTGATATTTGAATATTTAACCAGAAACTTAATTATATAAAAATACAAATACAAAAAAAATAATATATATAATAAATAATAATTAAAAAAATAATATAAATGCCCAAAACATAAAAAAAGATTAAATCACATGATCTTAATGCACCAAACTCAGCGAGTTGCCGATGTCGTCTCTTTAGTCGAAGACACAGAAGCAGAGAAGCTGTAGTGTCTCTGATATTTTGTGTCCATAAAGAAAGAGAGAGAGAGAGAGAGAGAGAGAGAGAGAGAGGGACTGTGGAATCCAGAGAGGAGGAGCAGGAGGAGAGACGAGTGAGTAAAAAGTGTTGGAGGGAGCAGGGGGTGGTCGTAATACGCCAATTAGTTTCACTAGCTGCTAGTCCCAGCTCCGCTCCGTTTCCCTTTGATCCGTCTAAATTTAACAATTAAGATACATTGTCTCCGAGCAGAGCAGGAAGTAGTTTAACCCGTTAATGGCTGATATCCAAAGTCTCGTTTTTTGTCATTGTTTATTGCATGAAATGAAGTGAAAACATTAAACGAGTGGAAGCGTTGGACATTTTTGTGCTTACTTGACAGATTACACCTGAGTTGTTTCCATGCATTTTGCATATATACTCAATTCATCATGCATGGGATTGTTTTATTTATGTTGCGTTCAGGTTTATCTGCACATAAAAACCAAGCATGTGCATCCAGCACCACTCCTCTCTGTGTTTCCTCCAGCAGATGTAGGGCAGTAATTAGTGCAGCAGATGATGAAGTGTTTGTGTGTGTGTTGTGTGTTTGCGCTGACTCAAAGCAAGACTATCGAGAGAATCATTAGACTCGCAGCAAGGCCTCGCATCCAGGCTAATTACCACCTTTTTGCCCAGAAGACGCACACAAACACACAAAGGTCCTCTCACGCTCCAGAGGAGAGGGGCAGCTCCGTCAGGCCAGGCAGTGGTGTGTTGTACGCTGACGCTCTGGTGACATCGCTGCAGAATTCCTCCTATGTGCTGCAGCTTGTCTCTCTAGAAAACGCAGTAACTGGCACAGTCAGCGGACGCCTGGTGACCAGAGAAAGAATGAATTCTTTCACTGGAGTCCTCAGTGTGTTCGTGCTTGTGTAATGAGCTCCTGGGCACAATCAATAGACTGTTACCAATTTGCCACATTCTCATTTTGTTGAGTTTGTATTTTACAGCTATGAGTGGAAAAAAAAACTCTCAGTAAACCCCTCGGGAACAATGTTTTATCAGAAAATTACCTTTGGAAAAAACTGCATTTACTCGGTTGTTATTGGGATTCGTGATTTTCATCACTCAGAGTTTGTTTATAGGACCAGTATGACAATTTAAAAATGTGCTAATTCACTTTCTTGCTGAGAGATGTAAAAATGAAGAGAGCTTTCGTGTCTGTACACAGAATATGGAGCATGGAGCTGAGTTTGCACAAAGACCGGAGGAAACTGTCTAAAGCTGAACTTGAGTTTATGAACGTTTCTGTTAGAGTTTTCATTACGGAGCGTCCACATGACTCTGGAGTTCAGAAATGTTTCATTTAAAAACTCCAGGGCTACGTTTTAGTCTGGATGGGCAGAAAATGAAATTGATGTCGTAGACTCTCACAACCTCGTCTGGCTGCTTAACAAACATACAACTGCTTACATGTGTGGGAGACGAGCAGCGGCACATGTATGTGAGTGGTCATGTGATATGTGTATTCGGGTGTGTTAGTACGGACAGGGATTCAAACAGTGTGAACATTTTAGTTTTAGGAACGGCAGATCTTTTTTATTCCTAGATTTTAACGTTGAGTGTTTTTCTCCTCAGCGACACAGTCAGAGTCTCGTGTCAAGTTTGACTTGAGTCCAAGGCTCCAGCTCTGATTAACACTGATGCTTTGCTGTGTCAGGAGATATCGATTTCTTTTTGATTTAGATGAAATAAAAGAGCAAAATGAGCATAAATCAATTGAGTGAGTGTTTCTGTAACGACCTGAGCCTCCGTGTGTGGATGTGTGTCATACAGGTCACTTTATACCGCTGAATGCTTTATTTAATTATTGTGCAGAGAACACAGAAAGTAGCCACGTTGTTCATTTTAAACAATATATAGTAGTAAAGTAGTGTTTAATTAATTTTGCCTGATTAAATGCCGATTATCATTTTCACACAATCGATGTAGAAGAAGCTACGTGTCGTTTAACTGTCGTCTTGTATCTGTGTGTTTGCTCAGGTGTTGAAGATCAGTCTCATCGGACACAGAAAACGCATCTTGGCCTCGTTGGGGGACCGGCTACACGAAGACACCCCACAAAAACCTCCGCGGGCCATCTCCCTCAGGGTGAGTGCGTCTCGGTGAGCAGGATGTTGTATGAACCACGATGACATCCAGCAGCATCTCAACCAACACAGACTCAAGTTATCGTCGCAGATATTTCTCGGATTTCCCAACTCTCTCAGGCAGGCACAAAATGGCCGACCCACTGCAGTTTCCTCTCTGCCATTTTTTCCAGGATACTAATCACAAGGAGCAGGTTTCCCTCTCCCGTCAGTGCTGCGCTATAATGTGCCACTTGATAGTCTTTTTGCTGATCAGCCAAGTGAATCAAATGTGTCTGACTGGTGGATTCTGCTTATTTCAGTTTGCCCAGATTTGTCCACTGTGTCCGTCTGAGGATTCCAGTTATGTATTGAGCCAGAAAATAAGCAAAGCGTCGGAGACATTATACTCAAGTAGACTTTGAGCAGCATTGTTTTGCAGTTTCACTTTTCAAGATTGTTTTTTATTATGGATCAGTCACTTGTATTTTCATTGTTGTGGACAAAAAATGCTAGAAACTATTGAGTAGTACAGTAAGGCACCCAGAACATCATAGTTTAATAAGGCATCAAACTCCACATGTCATCATACAGTATGGCCAGTAAGGTGTCCAGTAATGTTTAATATAGTAACACGTCCAAAATAAGAAATTGTACGAAATGTGATGAAAACTTAATAGTATTGTATTGTAATTGGAAAAAATACATGATTTTACTGAAGTGCTGAGTCCAGGGTAAAACGATGTGGCAGCGTTTCCTTTCAGTGAGTGAGCTCAGGGCTGTTTACTCAGTAATACAGTACAAACAGCAGCGGACAGCTGAGTGCATTAGGGCAAAATGGTTGAGTGAACAGAACGCGGCTCAGGATGAGGACTGAGGAGAGAAGATGTTAACGCTTCAGCTTCCACAAAAAACATCAAGAAAGGAATAAGAGAAAACCTCTGTAATCAACTGAGAGTCAAACTTCTCCCAAGAGAAATCAGTGACCTTCTAATGTGTAAGACCATTACACCATTAAAACATATGAAAGTCCTAATTCTTTTGGGAAATTTAGACTCTGCTCGCCAATAAAAATCTGTTCAATGAACATCCTTTTCCACTTAAAGCATCAGCCCGATGCTTTTGCTTAAAGTGACTTAACGCGGACGAGGAAAAGCTTCGGTGCTGTGTTTAAAGACACTGATGGTCCCACTGAGACCGTCTGGAGACAGGACAGACTTTGCCTCGGAGCAAAACAATTTCAGGCACTGGTACACAGCGGCAACACTGCATCTGAAAAAATGTCACCGTGTACAGTGAATGCAATTGCCCTACTTATTGTACTTGCAGCGGTGACACAGCACATTATGAAATGATGAATGAACCCTCTCTTTCTTTCCGACCCTCTTCTCTCTCTCGTGTCCCAGGAGCCCGGCGGGAACCACACTCCTCCCCAGCTCAGCCCGTCGGTGGGCCAGGCGGCGTACACGGCGGGGGTCCCGGGCGGATCTCTAGACGTGCAGCACCTCATCATGCAGGCGGACGCCCGGCGCAGACAGCGCAGCAACGACAACTACTTCGAGGACGTGCCGCGATCCAAGCTGGAACGACAGATGGCCCAAGTCAGCATGGTGAGGAAGGGGGGAGGGGATGGAGGGATGAATGGAGAGAGGACAGTATGAATGGTCATACAGACATACACCTGGCTGGATGAATTGTCATATATACATATTTACTGATAATACATTCAGTACAATGACCAAAAGTAGAAATAAACTGATCCCACGAACAAAGTACCAAACTTTCCTCTTTAATCTAACTTTATAAAAGACGATGGATTAAAGTCAGATTTTTAATAAATATTCTTTCAAGGATTATTCTAGATTATTACAATTCATTTATTTATAGTTTGTCAGTGGAATATATTTAATTCAAATGTAATAATCTCAGTAATTCAATGCTGCTTTCAAACATGCACTGAACTCCGGACATTCTCCTGAAATGTATCCCTGACGCTTTGATGAAATTCCACAGTTCAGTGGTAAAGTGCAGTGATTATTTTTGGCTTGCTTAAAAATGCTTGAATCTACTGCCGGAGGAAATAAATGTTTATGTCCGACAGTCTGTCTCTAAATACTCGCACACTGGTCGTCATCGGCGATAAAAAAAAACCTTTTCAACTTTTTCATCAATCAAATTCTTCATAGTTGTGCATAAACAGGAAACTTTCCCAAACAAGCATCTCAACTCTCCAGCCAATTTTATTCTCATCCTAATGCAAAATTACAAATGTACAACCTCCAATCAACAGCAGCACAACGACTCACACACACACACACACACACACACACACACACACACACACACACACACGCACACACATCTGATGCAGCAGCTGTGTTTTGATTCAATATGATTAGGGTCTTTTTGTGTCTCTGTGTGAGTCACAGAGCTTATCAGCGCAGATTATCACACACTTATGGTGATCCTGCTGCATCTCTCAAGTGTGTGTGTGTGTGTGTGTGTGTGTGTGTGTGTGTGTGTGTGTCTCTCTGTGTCACAGTGTTTCCCCCTGTTCCCAGATACACAGCCACACTGAAGTGGCTCTGATGACTCAGCTTTGTCAGAACAGAGAAATAACTATTACTTTCATTCCCCTTCTTCTCTGACTGTCAACACGCCGGCTCTTCCTTTTTCTTTTTTTAGAAAACAGAGCCCGAGAGAGCAAAACACATTGTCTGACTCAGAGGAGACGTATTTTGCTCATATCCAGGGTCATTTTTAAAATTTGGGTTATCACTTGAAAAGATGAAGTTGCTCTAGTATCCTGAAACCTTTGGTTTTACCCCGTCTCTTTAAAGTGTGTGGGGAAAAACGGGTGTGTTATTGAAAATCTGGTGGAGTTTAGCAAAGATTTGGCTGATGCCCATTTTCTAAATACTTATCCCCAAGCTGTTTATCTGACATATTTTCATCCGACTCTAAGGTCTCACCTCAAAGTCCCTCACCAACTCTCTGAAGGGATTAGAAACACAAGCAATCAGATGCGGGCTGACGCACAAACATGCAGTCTTTGGTACAGCATGCGTGCATACCTCCTCACACAAAGCCATCTGGTTTCATTTACCAAAGAATGAAAGACCATAAAACAAACTTAATTGTTATCCACAGATATTTAAGAGGTATGCAGATAGGATTTAGGTATTTCCTTTGTTTGAAAAGTCGAAAAGCTTGCTGGGTGAAAGAGCGGTGAGCCGCAGCAAAGAGTCTTACAGGAACATTTAAAAGCCGAGCATAATTCATCCACATTTAATTTCCTCTTGATGTTATTTGAAGCTTGTCTCTTTGAAGACATGTTCAGTGAGGAAAGCTGTCACATTATGAACTTCAACTCAGGCCAACAAGTTGTGTCAATATTAGATACTTAACACGAGCCCACATGTCAAGTCCCGGCCTTTTAATCTTGTGTGGTTTAGCTTGCGTCCTAACGTGCGGTTGGTTGTTGTTTCAGGCGGGCGAGTGGTGCGAGCCAATCACGTTGCGTCCACCAAATGAGGCCACCTCGTCCACCCCAGTGCAGTACTGGCAGCATCATCCCGAGAAGCTCATCTTTCAGTCCTGCGACTATGAGGCCTACGTGAGTCCAACTCCTTCACTTCTCTTTTATATTTATGATGTGTTTGTTAAAATATCAATTACTTTATGACACTATAATTATTAATCACAATCATCCTTCAATCATTGTAACTCACACACTGAAGGCAACAGTATTTACACCAATGACCCTCAGCTCTCTGTCAACACTGCACTTAGTCATTCTCAGCACTTTGGTATATTTAGACCTTTGCCAGTTACATAAGGGATGTTATATATGTATGTTACCATGACTACAGCCTCACCCCCTTTGATTGGTTACACGCTCGGCAGCTCAACTTCAATGATCAGTTACTCAGAGCTGCAGAAACATAACCTGAGATACTATTGGCTCTCAGAAACACGGAGACATGCAGATTCTTATTGGTTCTGGTTGATATGAGTCGGATAATTAAGCAAGAGGGAAAAGTTGACTGCAGGAAGATGAAATTTCAAGTTTGTACTAACAGCACGACGAGAGGAGAAATTAAAAGGGAAGAGACACAATCCCCTCATCTTTGTTTTCTCACATCTGAAGAGTGATAGCATCAGCTTGGACCGCTGGGGTTCTTCCAGCACAACTATACAGGCACCATGTTTGAGGTAGAAAGGAGAGCGAGCCACCAAGGGAAAATAAGGACGGAGCCACTTATGACGAAGCCTCCAACACTCGCTGTCCCAGGACAACGGGCTCCAGAAAGCTCCGAAAGTGAGATAAATGAGCAGGAGCCAGAACGGAGCGGGAGGCCGAGCGCTCAGTGTGAATATTGGCAAGCTGACGCAAGACGGAGAGAGTGAGGGAGAATAAATGAGATGGATGAGACACTGATGAGAGGCAGAAAGGAAAGAGAGGAGTGGATTGTGTTGGTGTTAATAGAGAGAAGAGGGTGGTAATAAGCCAAAAGGACAGAATAAAGGATGTACCAGCACCGCTCTCATTTTCATCTCAGCCTCACATGATGCTGTAACTTTATTTTGTCAGGTTTACAACTAGAGTTAGAAAATATTACCTGAAGTTATTTCAAACTTCATTTCCAGTAAAAGGCTGCAGGGAATCTAACGTCAGCCAAAGTCACCTCAACGTTGTGCTCCGTCATATTAACGTAGAGAAAGTGAATTAACCTCTTTTTTTGGGCTGGTGTCATTTCTTTTTCCGAACTATAAAGAATAATGCTTTTTTTTTTAACAGGATAAGAATCAAATGTATTTCTAATCAAGAGAGAGATAAATCCAGTGAGGTCAACGTTCAATCCTGATACTTGATTTTGTCGTCATTGACGAGGGTGATAAAAGAGATGAGATAAAAGAGGCTGTAAATATTTCTCCTCTAATTCACTAAAAGCCTCGTTAGAATCCCACTTCAGGAATAAGGCTGGACGGGCGGAGAGAGGTGGTGAATGTCACACCCATTAGGTGCTCTAATGTCGACATAAACATTGTCCCTGTAAAACACTCACTATTAGCAGCTTCTTTATTAAATCACATGCTACGTTGTTAGAGGCTGAACCTGACCGCAGAGTCGTGTCCAAGCAGAAGGTGTTAATGTTCCTCCAGGAGACTCAAGGTTAAACTAATCACTGTGTGTGTGTCTGTGCATTTAAACACATTGTAAACAAGGTGTTTATAAATTATCTGCAATATCAGAAACAATTATTCATACTGTTAAGATAAAGATTGATTGGTTGGTTTGTTTCATGTCAAACCAACATGCTGACATCACAACGGGGGGGCAGCAATATGAAGTCTATGGTTCGGTGCAAAGACAGAATAAAGAGGAGTCGTATTAAAGGTAGAATAGTAGGACATCCTTATAAAAGTGTCTATAGACTGAGGTGAGTGGATCTAGGACAACTGGTGCTGGTGGATATCAGGAGAGACGTTGCTGCTTAAAAAAAGCTGTCACCTGTCAGCAGCGGTGCTTCAGTGTCCTTCTCTACAACAGTTCGTTTGACATTCAGCTGCAGCATTGCTCGCTGATCATTAGCCAGTGACGCTAAGACCGTTTCATCATGATCAACCACTGCTAGAAGCTGTGGCAGCCGATCATTTCCATTTAAACTCATTTGGAGAACTGAATGTTGGTGGGATACGTCTCTGAGAGGACACAGGCTCAGCTTCAGTTCAGAGTTCAGCATCGATTTAAATCTGTGAACCATACCCCGGGTGAATCAGTTAGAGTAAAGAAAACTTCTCAAACTTGTTCCCTGGAACTGAACTGAAAGTTTGAAGTTGAAAGTTGCTGAGTTGTATGGATATAAACAGACACTGAGGTACATCTACACACCCTGTGTATTTATAACCATGTTTGTGTTTTCCACAGTACCTGGGCTCCATGTTGGTGAAGGAGCTGAGAGGGACGGAGTCCACACAAGATGCTTGTGCCAAAATGAGGGTAAAGCACATATAACTTCTGCTGCTGCTGTGACAGACTTTATTGAAGTCCTGTGGGATAATTCTATTTATTACAACGTCGGTTATATTCTTCGTAGATTTGGCCATCTGGTGTTGTTGGTACTATTATTACTTCACTTCTCAGGTTGACTGCTGACATCTGGCAACACAATCTGAAAAAAAGTTTTATTAAATTATGATCCTTTATTTTCAGTATTCTCAAGTCAAACCCTTTCTAGCACCTGGCTAAAAAAAACCTTCCTGGACCTTTAAATCTGGGACACAGTCCCACAGTCTGAGCGCCATCACACTTGCTAGAATTTAAACAAACTTAAAATGTCATGACTGTGGATTAAGTGAATTGGGGGATTTATTTTTAATATCCTTACCTGGGAGGCTCCATTCCCCTTCATCGTCATTTTACTTGAAATCACCTTATCTCCTTCTCTTGAATTGTATTGTTCAGCTTCTCACTCTTTACTTGCCCTCCTCCATCTCTCACTTTGGCTGTCTCTTTAGATCCATGTCTTCTCTTCCAGCTTCCTTCTTAATTCTTGTGTGTCTCACTGAAACATTGACTCCTTCTCTCCTCTGGCCCTCAGTTCATATCTCTCATTTTCATCCTGAGCTGCTGCAGTGTGAAGATAAACTGTAATATTCCTGAGCAAAGCCTCCTCTTCCTCCCCTCCTCCCTCTTCTGTCTCCATATTTATGTTGCCACATCAGAGGGCCTCTTTCATTCTTTAACCAAGGTTGTGTAATTAAGTGAAATTCACATGATATATTTCCGGCATGTTTTACCGTGTGAACCTGTTTTCAGCTTTCACCTGCTCGCCCCTGTTCCCAGCTTTGCCGCTTTCATCTGTCACTCTTTGCCTCCGCTGTTGCGGATGTTTAAATCCCAACTTCACAGCCCCTGGCTGCCAGCGAAGCCGGGCGGCGCTGCCTTTGTCAGCTTTTCGGCACTACCTGATTCTGACAGGGCCGAAACTGCAGCAGCAACACACTGCGAGAAGGAAGGAGAGAACAGAACAAAGACATGACACAGATACGAAGCAGAGGAGCGAGTCGATTCGACAGGAGGAGAAAGGGAAGACAGAGTATGATAGAAATGTGGATACTCAGAGATGGAGATGACAGGCGAAAGATTGTGGGAAAGGGACTCATCTCACATCTATTTCTTTGAATATATTAAAGCTTGTGGCAGGTAGAACGACAGCGAGGAGGTGATGCTGACAGGGCTGTAAATCACACGTTGCTCCACAGCTCCTCACTGCATAATGACTGACTTCAAATGTAGGTAATAGAGACGCGTTAAAGAGCCAGTATGTAATTAAAAGGAATGAGTGGAGATATGCGATATCTGATTATTGGATTTGTAGAGCTGCAGCCGATTGGACTTTAAAAATTTAATCCAGGAGCTGTTGATTTTTTTATGAGGCTGAAAACAACCCTCGATCTTTGGGGATGATTTGAATTACCTGGTAATTGAGTGAATGTTGATTCAGCTCATTTACTTCAAGCTTCTTTTATTCATTCAACTTTCGCATGCTTGTAGACCTGAGGCAGCTTCTAACACATGGATTAAGTGTTGTATAAAACTAAAAGGTTATTTAATTCAGTGGAGATTTCACCGACTGAAATTCATTAAGTTGGGACTAGTTTTTATTTTTAGTGGATTGTAAAAAGCTAAATCCTGTAACTGATTTCTGTTTTCGTCATATACGTGTGAAATCTGTCAAAAGTAATTTCTGCCTCTCTCCTCTTTCTGTCTCTCTCTCTCTCTCTCTCTCTCTCTCTCTCTTTTATTATGTGCGCACTCCAAGAAGTCGACAGAACAGATGAAGAAAGTGCCGACCATCGTACTCTCCGTGTCCTACAAAGGAGTGAAGTTCATCGACGCCACAAATAAGGTGACACTCACTTTGTGCGACGCCCACTAAATAACTCATTAAAGGTTCGGCTTTTGAACGTGAACATTAGTGACATCAGGGGGTGTCAGGTCTGGCTGGGATCACAGCACTGATTACTGCTGCTGCCTGGCAGATTAAAACATTTATGGGGTGTGAATGAAAGCCAAAACAAAATCAGGTTATAATCAGTAATGTGTAAATGAATGTGAACAATCAACTACTAGTCCAATAAATCCTTACTGGGATTTTATTAAGGTGAATAAACAAATTTTAAGTGTTTAATAAGCACTGTTCCACTCTCTTCTTGATACCATTACCAATGTGACACTAGTTAATTTAAAACCAAACAACTTATATAATGTATTTTAACATCTCTAAACAACTAACTAACTAACTAACTAACTAACTAACTAACTAACTGGCTCAGGCTAAACCTTTTGAAAAACAACTACATACAAAGAATGAATTAACTTCTTTCATTATCTAGTTTGAAAATAACTGAAAAACAACCTAAACTTCTACTTCCATTAAATATAGAGATGTTTCATAAGATTGATAGTGTTTTAATGAGACATACTAGTACAACCCCTGAAGTCTTGTGTATGGTCCATGTGATTGTTTTACTTTCCAGTGTGAAATATGGAGACGATCTGAATCTTTCTTCCTCTTGTAGAATATCATTGCAGAGCATGAGATCCGTAACATCTCGTGTGCGGCTCAGGATCCAGAGGATCTGTCTACGTTCGCCTACATTACCAAAGACCTCAAGTCCAGTCACCACTACTGCCACGTCTTCACTGCTTTTGATGTGGTCCGTACCGACACTGTGCTTTTGAGTTTACAGACAAATTTCAAATTCATTAAGTTTGTCATATTCTTATCCCTGTTTACTTTTGCCTCCTCTTGACAGAACCTGGCTTATGAGATCATCCTGACGCTCGGCCAGGCCTTCGAGGTGGCCTACCAGCTGGCTCTGCAGGCCAGGAAGAGTGGCCACGGGTCGTCCACGCTGCCCGAGAGCTTCGACAGCAAGCCCAACAAACCTGTTCCCAAACCCCGCGTCAACATCCGCAAATCTGTAAGCATCACTGCCACACAGCCACTCAAATATCTGAAGGGAAAATCCATCCAAAAGTAAAATTCACATCAGCAAATCCAGGTGGTTTTGATAGTCTGGAGCTGGATCTCTTTTTTATCACCAACTTATTGTTATGAAGAATATATTTTCTGATGGATTTTCACCTTCATTTAACTGCTCAACTCTAAACTCTTGGATTAAAATTTAGCTTTTCTTTTTCTGCTTCAAACTAATCCTAACCAGCATCCATTCTCCACTGGAATCTGTCCATAAATTCATCCCCCTCCTCTGATTCGTCACAGTCGCTCATCCCTGCTCATTCACATCATTCTCAACTCTGTCTGGTTTGCTGGGATTATCCTCAGATGCTTGAGTTTTGTATGAGTGAGTCTTGGCCCAGGAGACTGTGGCAGTGTAGTAATGTAGGTGTGTATCTGATCTGTTGAGTGTCTCTTCGGACTTTACACATGGGGCTGATAGATGATGCCTGTTTGCATGTGTGTGAGTTTTTATGTAAGAAGATAAATAATCGTCATGTGGAAGATTCCGCAGCCTTGTTTGGAAAATGAATTTATTGACAGTTAAATGCATCAGATCAACAATAATGTGGTTTGTAGGAGTTTCTTTCAGTGACGTCAGTGTAAGTTATCAGCAGAGTCACAGTTTACAGTTCAGTTTGTTTGGTTGCTTCAAGATGATTAAGAGGTGAAGCATTTTTACTGTATTTTAGTGCTAAATGTAGAATTTTGGGTTAGTTGCCTTGATATATATATTTTTAAATAATTCTAGAATGAAACTTTAATACATCCTCTAACCTTTTTTCTACAAACCCTGTTTTCTTTTAATTTAACTTCTAAAATACATGTTCAATTTATTTCTTTACTTGTGAAACATTCGTAAAGTAGACTTATTGAAAACTGAAAAGTAACTTACACTTTCTGAGTATGAAACCTACGTTATCCACAATCAAAACATATGACAGCGTACCTTTAACTTATAATTTTAACAAAGACTTTATAAAGATGGACAACGTGACAGCTCCCCGAAATCTGAGGCCAAAGTCATCTTGATTACCACAAACTATTATATGCAGTCTATGGTCAATATACCAATAAAATATTACTGCTCACCCAGCACTAGCTTGTGATATCAGATAGACGTCTCTCCCACATTCTATCATGAATTTGTGTCTATTTGTGCAGCAGCAATTGTTTTTTCTTCCAAAGCGTCACAGAGTCTATCTGCAAACCTGTCAACCTTCCATTAACCCCGACAGAACTTTAAAATAGTCACGCTAACCCACTCTGTCTGCACACACTTCCCTCCTCCACTGACACGCATCGGCTGGCACAGCAGCACATTTGTCCAAAGGGACCTGGTGTAGAGTTACGGTGGCGGCTATTATCAGCGTTGTCTGGACCATTTACAAACTGTGAGTCATGGAAGAAAGAGATGGTGATAGGGGAGAATCGGTGTTGGATGAATGGTCTCACTTTCTATAGTTGGAGCAAGTGAGGAGACATGCAGTGTTTGTGTGTGTTCACTCTACCCCTGTGCCTTGTGTGTGTGTCTTTGCAAAGCTTGTGTGTGGTCCTGTGCCTACGGAGATGATGGACGATGGCATGTGTACACACAATCTGCTGACTCGGCTACAGTTACATTAACTATTAATTACCGTTTCCTCTGCGTGTGTGTGTGTGTAGTCAATGGCTTGTGATGTGCAGCAGGGTATTCTTCAGGATTCACTTAATATTCCTGCCACCTGCCAGCCATAATCTCCATCCTGCAGCACCTCCGCGGGCCGCGGCCGCTGTGCTTAACAATACCGTCGCATTGTCTTTTCGGCCCAGAAGTATCGGTTCCTCCACACCCTCTCATTATTATTTTTATGTCCTGTGTGTGTTATCTGAGCACATCTGCTTGTAAATCTCCCTCAACATCCACTTAACTTACCCTTATGAGTGTGAGCGTGTCTGATATGACACTGTTGTCTTTGATCAGCGTCGGCATGTTGGTGTAATCTGAGTGAAGCTTCAAAATGGCGTTGAAATACATGACCCTAACAGTATGAGATTTATTTTTACTATTCTCTGTTTCTCAAAGTGAAAAAATCTTGCCAGTGGTGTGAAAATAGCTTGTTTCCAACTCGTCTTTAGTGGCATAGGAGCCACGTTAACACAACTGAAATGCAACCACAAGCTATTTCACCTCATTGGCAGAATTTTTCAAGAAAAAAATATGGTGTCTGGTCGTGTGAAGGTGCTTTTGCAGAGCGATGTTTTGTAAGTTTGCTGTGCCGTGTTCATCTTTCTGGGCATGCTGTTGCCATGCAGGAGTTGCTATATAAATGTGGCGTGACGTGGCGAATAGTCTAGCTTGAATTTTGCTGTGTTTCAGTGATGCTGTTGCCAGGGGGATGACTTTGCTACCGTGTTGTTTCCATGGGATTTTGCTGTGGTTTTGAAGTGTTGTTGCCGTGCAGCTACTCTTTTCATCGTTGTGGTTTTGCCGTGCTGTTTTTGTTGTTGCCACGCAGGCCCAATTTGACCTATGTGTGACCTCTGCCCCTGTAGGTCATGTCCCCCTCCAGCCGCTGGTCACTGGGCCATATTTACACCCCTCACCGGCCTCCTGTCCACCCTTCTCTTCCTCCCCCTCGACTCTTCCATGTTCCTCACAAAGCTCAGTCACAGGTCCTCCACGCTTTTCCTTCTCTGATCCTTTATTTCCACATGACTTTTCTTTTAATTAAGGAGAAAGCACCATCTGTAAGTGCTTCCACTTTAATCAGTCGCTGTGTGTCCTGTTTGCAGTAAGTATTTGTGTCTCATTCTTTGAAGACTAATTCTTATCTCCATGTCAACAGTCAGTAAGTTAAATACTAAAAAAAGGCAGATTTGACAGTCTGGTCAGTCTTGCAAAGCCAACCCACTTATTTTATATTGAGACCTCAACTTGAGCACTACTGTTTTAATGTAATGTGCTTTGTGAGATAACATCGCACTTGAGGGTTATTCTCGACTCGACTACTTCACCATATCTTTATCTCGCAAACAAGGCAGCTGAGTTTTTAAAGGGTCATCAAAAGGACCGGACTGCAAATGATTCAAATGTGCACTAGGCTTCATTTGCATACAGTGTGTTTTGTATTTGAGGTTGCTGTTTACAGAAGTAAATCACACTGGATTTAATCTCTGCAGCATTAGTTCCATTAATGCTCAGACCCTTCCTCAGAAAATCCTTTAAAGGCTGTTGATGTTGAACTTATTTTGGAGGCAAGACAATCTTCTGTCACTGGCTACATGTGAGGAAGATGCTGTGGGATCAAAAGCGCGCATCTGTCCTTAATCCTGTAACCTCATAACGAGATTATAAGGCCTTGTTGTGGTTGTGTGTGTGAAGAGAGAATACTGAACTGGATTATTACTGTGAGTAGTTTTGTTGCTGTAGCAGTGTGAAGAGAAGATAAGAAACATGACTGTTGCTGGACGCCACCCACATCTTTAATGTTCTTTTTGCAGAAAATATCTCCCCTCCCCCAGTATCATCGGAAAATACACTAATAGATTCACTAAAGCTGCTCTACTAGTTACTGTGGACTTCTTTTTAAAAACACTATTGATTCTTAAAATTTAAATTTTAAAGTCAGCTGTACAGGATCAGCATGATTTTGTATAAATATCTAGACTCAAAGAACATATAATTGTAACATACTGGTTTTGGGGTCATCCCCAATACTGCCTTCACTTGTATCATCTGGAGTTATTTTCCATTCCATTACTCTGTCAGCATCACATCCTCCACTCTTTCATTCCACTATATCACACTGGTTTCACTGACATTAGTATGAAATTGAATCAGAAAATTGTCCTTACCTTAAATTGTGCAAAACGTTATCAATTTTGTCTTGTCCCACTTCTTTGCATCTTCTTCTCCTTTATTGTAACGTTCTCTCTCTTTCTCTGTCAGATGGAGCAGCCGTCCATGGACCAAAAGGGCCACGCCAACGTGCCGTGGATTGTGGAGCCGGGTCAGGAGGCCAAGAGAGGAGTCAACACCAAGTACGAGACCACTATTTTCTAACATACACCCGCCTTGTCCACTCCTGTGTGTGTGCCTTTCAGAGGTTGCCCTGTACCGGGGCCCCGCCCCGGAGTTGGGCTCGAGTGAAGCACGTCGCCGTGTCACCTCACCGGCTGAAAAATAAAAAACAAAACATCCCGGCCCGCCCCCATTAGCCGAGACTGTCCACTGCATGATGACTTGGCGCTGCGCTGTCTCTCTCTTTTCCTTGTCTCTTTCATTTCTGCTCTCCCCCTTTTTGGCCCAATTCTCCCGCCTGCAGGGCTGGCGCATGACCTTTGAACCCAGAGTGTGGTGCACTTCTGTCTCCACCTGTAGGGGGGAATGGTCAGCTCCATTTTTCCACTTCCTGTATGCCGGTCAGTCAGCGGTCAACCAGTTGGTTGTTCTGCTTTTTGTTTTTGCTTTGCTTGATGGGTGTAACCCTTTGGACTCGTCTCTCTCCTCCTTCCTCCATCCCTCGCTTTTATCTAGATTTCAGCCCCTTACTGCACCAACAACCTGAAAGAGATTAAACCAGAAAACTGCTTAGAGCCATAACAGTGTTTTAGCTGTCTGTTGAGCCGAGTGTGGGAGCTGACAATGTTGAGGGATGTTGTCTGAACTTGACAACTGGAGGAAACTTCTGACTTTTTAAACCCTTTTTTTAATTCAAAGAGGAGAGGTGATGTAGCACAGTCTAACTTTGACTCAAACTGGTTCATCCAGCAGGCTACCAGAATGTATTTAAACTTTTTGATTCTTTAGATCAGATTTTTTTTTCTTTTTTAATATGAACAAACGTGTTGATTTCTTTGACAAACAGCTTTAAACTTGACCTGTGACACAGGAAGATGTAGGTGATTTTAGATTTTTTTTAGCACCTTTTTCAGAACGTGTGTACATATTATCAGAATCTTTTAACAATGCATTTTATTTTTCTCCCTGGCCATAAACCTAATTTTATTTTCGGTAACAAAATCTTGTCTATAAAAGGTTTAGCATGTGGCTTGTGAGACGCATGGTGGCCATTTTGGATTTGCTGAGCAGGGGGGCCGGTGGAGAGGCGGGGTGTGAGGGCTCTCTCGATAAGTGATGTCATCTCATTTGCAGGGCAATGCCGGAAGCTCATGTCTATTACTGTGGAATACAAAGAATGTAGCCAGCCCTAAACACGGACCTTGTCACACTTACAATGCAAAAAGGACTACAAAGGACTACAAACATGGACGCCACTCCAGTGTTTAAGGTTGACTACAAAATATTTCGCATTCATTCACACGATGTTTGACACAGTTAACTTTGGACCAATACACACACATTAACAAGACTGCATCTCGACAGACTACGTCTGAATGTACACTCATCTGAAGCAGCCTCAACTTTCTGCAACTACAGCAGGATCTGTTTTATGCAGCCAGCTGGGAGGCATGAACTTTATGGGAGGCTAGAGGGCATCTGTTGGAAACAGACAATGGCCTGGCTAAAGGCACCACTGGGCATGTGTCAATGTTGGAATGGGAATGTGTTTGAGGACGTCTGGCCGGCTCTTTTTGGTCTTTTTATTTTAAAGTCAGAAAATAATAGAGATATATGCACAAGCGTGTCAATGTGATTGGACTAGCTGCAACACGCTTCAACCGCAACAGGTGTTTCATCACAATGGACGATGAAACTATGTGAACAAAACTGCATCTGATGTTTAAAAAAAGTATTCTATTCGTATTGCCCGACATTTTAATGTTTAATATGAGAGTATTATATTACCATGATGATTATGATTATTCTTGTGCAATTCTTGTCTACTGTTGTCTTAATGTTACATTATTTTTCTATGATATGCTGAGATGAAAATGTTGAGCTTGAGAATGATGGCCATCCTTTAAAAAAATACTTTTATCTGGCTGAAAGTAATTGTACACATAGAGTGAATGTTGCAGATGGCTCGCTAACTCTTGTCAGGTCAACCCTCCATCATTTCTCATGGGGCTCTACTCTTATCTAGCAGATGTACTATTTTAAACGCAGTATTACTGTATCATTTGGATGAGAAATTATCCATTTATAAAATGTACATAGATATTTTGCCAACTCATTGTTCATACGTGTAATGTAAAAGAGAAAAGAATTAAGGACTTGCAGTACATGGCACTGGAAACAAGGTACCAAAATAAAGGTTGGAAATTTAAAAAAGAAACAAGTGTTAGACTGTAGAGATTGTATTTTGAGTGACAACTGAAATGGGTTATATGGTGACATCACTGCTGACCAACTAATGTACATAGGCTTGGGCTTCCAGCACACTGATTTTTGTAATTTTGGCCATTATTTATATCCTTGTAAAGCACATGAAAATAAAATACAACTTGTACAACCATGATTTTGTTATCAGTTATTTTTTTCTTCTCACTACATTGAGCACTGGAATATCAACCCTGACTGCATGCAGGTCTACGCTGGATAAGCCTTTGGCTGGCTTCTCGTTCCAAAATGTCCGAAACCGTCTGAAATCTCGAAAAAACGACATAGTATTGTATGGAGTCCGAAATCTCCAAAAAACGACATAGTATAGTATGGCTTCCAAAATCTCCAAAAAACGACATAGTATAGTATGACTTTCTAAATCTCGAAAAAACGACATAGGATGGTATGGCTTTCAAAATCATGAAAAAACGACATAGTATAGTATTGTTTCCAAAATCTCTAAAAAACGACATAGTATAGTATGACTTTCAAAATCTCGAAAAAACAGCATAGTATAGTATGGCTTTCAAAATCTCGAAAAAACGGCATAGTATAGTATGGCTTCCAAAATCTCCAAAAAACGACATAGTATAGTATGGCTTCCAAAATCTCGAAAAAACGACATAGTATAGTATGACTTTCTAAATCTCCAAAAAACGACATAGTATAGTATGGCTTCCGAAATCTCCAAAAAACGACATAGTATAGTATGGCTTTCAAAATCTCCAAAAAACGACATAGTATAGTATGGCTTTCAAAATCTC